AAGAGAATGATTAAACAGTAAAACAGCAGAGAGGGGCACAGTGTGTGATCTATTTATGAAAGTAGGATAAAGAGAGTGCGCAAAGAAATCAAGGCAGTAAAGTATTAGAAGGGTCTGACCAGGGATGTTAAAGCTGTGGATGTATTTGAACATAGGGTGTGTCTCATTACCAACCTTTTATGTGAGTTTATGGTGGGACATTTAAAACCTGTTATAATATTTCATTGGAAATATTTTAAAAATATATACTGCAAGGATTGAACAGTGGCAGTAATTGTAACTGAAGACCTGTGGAATACAGAATGCCTGGACTGTAGCTCAAAGAAACAGACATACTCTAAGAGAATCAATCAGCTGCTGAAAGTTAAAATGCCAGAGACAAGAAATACATGGAGACAAAAGGGAGAAAAACAACAGTAGAAACCATATATGAGCCCTCTGAAATTATGGTAAATAACTAAATTTCACTTAACACAAAATATGCATGTTGTTTTCTCTCTCTCTCCAATAGGTATGTCCAGATTTTTGGCACCTCTGGGTCACACTGGAAGAAGAGTTGTCTTGGGCCACACATTAAATACACAAACACTAATGAAAACAAAATAAGCGCATAATGTTTTAAGTAAATTTACAATTTTGTGTTGGGCCATATTCATAGCCATCCTGAGCCATATGCAGCCCATGGCCCACAGGTTGGATACCCCTACACACAAACTACCTATAACTGTTTAGTATAGAAAAAAATACTATTCACATTCATATGTGATGTCAATATTAGGAACTATATCTTCTGTGGAAGTAGCCTTTGAAAGCAATCTGTTTTATTGTGATTTTATGGAAACAATTAATTTTACTTTTTGGATGTTCACTAGTATCTTTCAAGCCTCTATGTTTATACTTATCTTTCTTTATATTAGACATGTTCCTGAAAATCTGCCTCCTAAATAAGAAGCTCCCTGTGTTAACATTTCACTGACTTATATTAAAAATAGGTGCCTTATTCCCCAGAGTGGGCAATAGCATCTTGTGATACAGTAAGTAATAAAATCACATGAAGTTCCGGTGAAAACATTTTTCCCTATTATTCCCTCCTTGGTTTTATTCATGGGTCCTAAAGACAGCTGTCAATTCCTGCATCACTTCGTAGTCATGTTTCCTTCCTGACTCGGTCACTGTAGAATTCAGTGAAACTGCAGGTAGTAAAATGACCATGGTCCTGTTTTGTCTCATTGTGAAACACATATGCAGAGTCACTCCTGAGCCAAGGATTGAGGATCAACTTTAGAGGATTCCAAGTTCTGTACTTTGATAAAAAACAGGTATCGAATATATTCTTTTCCATTCAAACCTCTAATATTAAAATCACATGTTAATATAATTAATTTAATTAACATAATTAATATTTTTATCCCTCCATGAAAATAATGAACTTTTTATTCTGATGAAGATTGTAGAATTATAAGTTATACTTCTCAAATGTGTTCAGGAACTTTGATACATAGAAATCATAGGCTTGATGTGGAACAGTACGAAATATCTATACTTTAAACTTAAAATAGTTTTATGTCAAATTCCACCCTCATTTATACATTAATCTTATTTGGAAAGCAAAGAGTAGGTGCAAAGGGTTCATGAAAAAATGAAAGAAAACTCAATATTAAAAAAATTCTACTCATTTACATTTTCCTATACATTTAGAAAAGATTACATCAATTCATTTTCAGAATACTTCTCCTTCAGAATATCTCAGTGCTCACTAGAAACAGTATTAATATTTAATTGACATTAGAAATAGCATATATGGAATATATATTGTATGATGAAACTGCAATTATTAAAAACTATCAACAGAATAAATGTTAAAATTTTATTAGTATCCCCATCCTGTTTAACTTAAATAAACCTAAATTTTAATAAATTTATTCTAAAGAATTTTCCCAATTCTTTAGTTATATTTAAGAGAGAAGAACCATCACATATGCATCAGGTTTAAAGGAGCAATATATTCTGAGATTTACTTTTGTCTGCTTTCTTTCCAGTCTAGATTTCAATAATTTTGGAAATATTTACACTAAACAAAATATATTAATAGTCAATTTGTAATATACATAATTACAAGATTTACAAAATTGAATATTTTTGTATTAGAAGAGTTGGGATATCAATAATATTTTCTTTGCATATTTTAAAAATATGAGCGGGCATAGTTATCATTTGGGGGAAATTATTATGGAGACTCTAAAACCAAGAGCAATTGTCTCAAAATAAATCAGGATATGACAGTAAATGGCTTTTACATCCATGATTTCAGCTGCACTTAAGAATTAATATGATGAAGGTAGACAATCCTTACTTTAAAGCTGAGAACAGATTCAGAAAAAGTCAACAAAATTTACTTAAGCAATATTTACTTATTATGAGACTAGGTACTCTGCTAGGTGCTGACGTTGAAGATATGAAGAAGAATGAACAAACAAACAAAAAAGGTTATCTGTCCACATGGAATTAAATACATCAGGCCCATGCTAACCAATACCAGTAAGCTCTAAAATAAGGAAGAAAATGACTTCTACTTGATTTGTCCCTTCACTTTGTCTCTGATTTCAAGGTGAGGATGAACAATGAAGGAAACTTGGGAGGTACAGAACTGCCACTTCAGCAACAGCAAACCAAATGGCATGTGTGATATTTCCTAAGTTTAAGAATAAGTAAAATGTGTGCCAGAGTTAGGAAGTACTTTTTTCCCTCTGACTGGAAATTAGGGTAAGTATAAAAAGAATTGTGTGTGAAAAAGAAGAAGTATTGTGTGTGTTTGGGCCGGGGGAGGGGCAGTGTTAGCAAAGGATAAAGTCTACAATCTGATTCAGATAGCAACTGAAGAACATTATATGCTCTTAAAAGGGTAAGAAACTTACCACTTAAACCAAGCAAAAAGCATGGGCAGGGTCCTGGTTCTGACACACACATGTTCAGTTAACATGGAGTTGAGGAAAGTGAAAACTGCTTGTATTTAAAATAATCACTAGGAACAATGATTCTATTTTTGGCATTGAGAGTGAGAGTCCATACATAGACATAATATACAGCAAAGCATATTAGTTACATTTCACGTGCCAATAAATAACGCATTCACTTCTCAAAATGGCAAAGTAAATGTGAGAGAGAAAATTTCCATCTATATTCAGGATTAAGCTTTCTAATCTTAAATTATCAGACTTCAGCTGTCAATTTATTTCAGTTGAACGTTATGAAAATATTATTAATGAATCTTCTAAAATTCTGGAGCGTGTTTAAAAGATTATTTTAACATAATAAGGAATGCTGCCATAAGTATGACAAATTTTTGAGCACCTACTGTGTGACAGTATTATGCTGGGCGACTATGTTATTTCTAATAATCTATTCAGCACATTTCAGTTTTCTCAATAATTCTTATACTATTAATTTATAACTATATTATTTTAAATACAGCTCATTCCATAAAGTTGGTCCGAAAGACACTTCCCTATTGGAAAGGGAGGTGGGGGGAGAGGAAAGCTCAGTTCTACCGACAACTTAAGACTCAACTTCCTTGGTATTTGTGCTATTATCTATATCGCCCTTAAGATATCCCCCAAACTTATACGAAGTAAGAAACTTGAGATAAAAATCGGCAATGTTTCAAAGACCACATTTGTCAGTCGTGCTTCTTGCCATAAAGTCCTATACAGCAATAACTGCCCATTTAGGTAGTAATTCGTGGCCTGTTTACTCCTTCACTCTGAATCTTGACGCCTATGATCTCGTTGGGTGACTGTACGGGGAAAACCGCCTGGAGCTCCGAGAGCAGGGTGGCCAGGCGGGGTAAGGCCGAGGTGACAGCAGGTGAGCCTGGTGCGGATAAGGAAGTGAGACAGAGACAGTGTGGGTATTACTCATTGCGCTTTACCGCCGAGGTAGCTTGCAAGCGGAACTTCTCGCCTCTTTTTCAGTCCAGCTGAAGTTCTAATTGAAGTCACGTCCCAACTCGGTTTGCTGGGGGGAAAACCGTGCGTCTGTGTAGGGGAAGGGAGTGAGGACGGCAGGGTCAGGTAGCGTCTCTCGTGACGTCGCATGTCCTCCTCGTCACAGGCTGAGCTTCCCAAATCAGTCCCTCGCTATTCCTCAAACCTGCCCTTCCCCAAATCCTGGGAACTTCCTGGGGAGCCGCGAGCGCGACACGCTCCGAGGCCCCAGGGACGAACGCTGCGTGGGAGCAGAGCTCAGCCTCAAGGAAGAGGGAAAATAGGTTGCTCAGGTTACTCTGACACACGGTCCCGAGAATTAGGCAGACCCATCCATACAAGTCCCAGGCAGCTGCGGCGGGTGTGGCCAGTTGAGACACAAAACGGCGCGGAGCCTTCTACTTTACCTTTCTCGCTCTGACAGCCTGTTGCCCTTTTCACCACATCCCCACAGTTTCCTAATGTCCCTTTCCCCCAACCCAGGACACCTGAGCGAAACTTTTCCCTCGCCCCTCAATTCAAACTCTGCTGTTTCCACGGTGGCCGCAAACCGTCCCCTCCCTAGCAACAAGGTTCCGGCCGTAGAGCGAGCGGCTCTAGGTGTAAGGAAGGTGATGTCGTAAAGCCGCGAGTGTCGTAAACCAGGTGCGGTGGGGAGGGGGGAGGGGTGGAGGCGGAGGGGTGGGGGGGGAAGGGGGAGGGAGGGGGAGGAGGTGACTCGAGCATTTAGACTCAAGCGAGAGGATCATGGCGGATGGCCCCAGGTGTAAGCGCAGAAAGCAGGCGAACCCGCGGCGCAATAACGGTGAGTGGCGGAGGGGACTGGGGAGCGGCGGAGTCAGGGGGAGCCGGGCAGCCGGGGCGTCCCGAGGGTGAGGGGGCGAGCCGGGCTAGGGGCGGCCGGGGCAGGGACGGGCAAAGTGGAGTGGGAAAGTAGAAAGTAGTGCTCTCTGCCCCCCTCAGCTGCCGGAGCCGCGCCGCGGCCGCTCGCTCTCCCTGAACCGTTATGTCTCTTACCTGGTCTCTCTCCGCCTAGCGGTTCCTGCCGCCTCTGCCGCCTCCCTGGACCGTTAGCCGCTGCCTCCGCATCCCCGGCTCATAGCGAGCGGGCGGGACGCGGCATTCACTTTTCTGGTCTCGGGTGGAGCGGCTGTTGCTTCTTTTTGCACTTTTCCCCACTCTTCTGCCCCTCGCGCCTCCCCGCTACCCCTCCTCTTCAGCCCCCTTCTCTCTATTTCCCCTCTGCGCCAGGCTCCCCGGAGCTGGGAACTAACTTGTGCCGTTCCTGGCTGTGCAGAGTGGCTTCCGCGCGCCGCGGCCCCGGCCCGCGCTGTCGCTCGGGGCCCCGCGGCTCGGGCCGGGAAGGCGCGCGGCGGTGGGACGCGGCAACCGGGCTGCGTGTCGCCCGTGCGCGCGTGTGCGCGGGCGCCGGTGGGGCGCGCCGCGGGCGGACCAGGCTCGGCCGGCGGCGGTAAAGTTGTGACCAGCCGGCGCGCTCGCGGAGTGGGGATTAGCGGCGGAGGCGCGGGTCCCTAAGTGCCCCTCCTCCCCCGCCCCGCGGCCAGCGCGCCCTGGGCCGCAGAGGCGAGCACCGCGAGTGAGGTCCACGTCCTGTGGGGCGCTGGTGGGGCAGCAGGGACGACGGGGCAGCAGTGGGCGCCTACTTGCTGCTGGGGGCGATCCATGGATGACGGCGAGCTGGGCAGCGGTCATCCGCTGAGTGAGCTGTGTTTGTAGAGTTGTTACCTGGTTAGAGACAGGCGAAGCACCACAGACAGAGCACCCTCCCCGGGGAGGACTCCTGCTCCGCGCTGGGATGGGGCTGTGTGCGTACGCCTCTCTTTTTCTCTTTCGGTTTTTGGGGAAGTTGTTACCTGGCCTGGACGCTCGGAGCGCTGAAGCCGGATAATGGAGCTTGGATGGCGCTCATGGTCTCGGGTGGAAGGGGATGGGGGAGGGGGTGGGAGGACTGACGGACGCGCGGGTCGGCTGCTCTTGCTGCAGCTGCAGCTGCAGTGTTTATTGATTTGTGCTGATGTGCAGGGAAATACACACCCCTCGGCCTGCGAGAGAGTTTCAAATAAATAAATAAATAAATAAACAAGCGACTGAAAGCAAGACCCGAACATGTGGTTGTTGTTGCACAGTGGCCTTTTCCAGTTTGGAGAGACATTGTAAGTTGATTGTATTTCTGCTTATCTCGGGGGCGATTCTGTGCTTTCTCTCCCTCCTGTTCAGCGGTGAAATGTCTGCTGATTGTTATTGTCTGGACAGTTCCTGTAGTGAGAGGGGCGAGACTTGTCCGCCCGGGGGCGGCGTGAGCGCTTGGAGAGGCCCCCGCCCGCCAGCCGGGTACCTGTTTGTATAATAATGGGCGGCAACGGCTCTGCTGCCGGCTGCGGCCCAGGCTATATAAGGAATTACACGTACATTTCGGACCGAGGGGCTCGTCTAGGTTGCTGCGTTATTTCTAAAATGAGTTTTTAAGAATAGGGAAATAAATGCACCTAAATTGGGGTCGCTGTATCTTCCAAAAATTAAGGAAATATGTGTTTAAGTAAAAACTCTCTCGCGCTCCCCCTGCCCCACCCCCTGCGCCTGGGCTCCCTTTCTCCCTCCCCTCTCGAATACGAAACGCAAGGTTTTGTAACCTTTCCTGGCAATTTTAGATTTTGTGTGGGATTTCCTGTCTAGCAGCAGATACGAAGATTTTATGCTGTTTCAAGACGTTTCCTTCTAATCGTAAACATATTTTTAATATATTTGAGCCTTCGACATTAAAATCGTTGCTTTCTTGAATGCTTTTGGTTATTCAAATAAACATTTTAAAAAGCGTCTATCAGTTACGATTGATAACTAATATTTGGTATCTTCATTGTGGAGAGATGACTTGTTACAGCAAGGAGCAGAGCATAGGCTATTGCAATTTTAATTTCCTGTTTTAGCGTCAAATAGTGCGTGTTCTATATTGAGCTGTTCCGCTGTTGCTGATGTGGCTTTATGAAAGGTAAGTTGGTTCGGAAAGGGCTGTTAGCTTTTTATCTTATGTAAAATGTTCATCGCCATAGAAAGGGGCTTTTCTTGTTGCTGACGACATATGTGTGACATGTGAGTCTGAGCCACCCAGCGTCTGTGCAGCTGCTGTAAACATGTTTACCTGAACAGGAAAGAATGGATTTTTCTCCTAAAGATCCTGTGATACGAATATTACACCCATAAGGCATATCAACAGATGACTTAAGGGGGGAAATCTATCCTGAAAGGTACTTGAAATCAACAGGAAAAAAGAGGTTCTCGGTCGCTGCAGCAAATGGCAACTTGTGCAGGTAGAAAAAAGATGGTGTTTAGTTTTCTCCTGCATGTATGGCAGCCCCCTCCTGTCTGCTGCTTTCATTCTCAAGGGAGGGATTTATTTACCACGTTTGCTGTCAGTGTTTTTCCTTTGTGTTTAATATAAGGAAAACAGATTTGGGGCTGTTTAGCACAAAATGTCTTGACTGCAGTATGCATTACTCTGGGAAAACAAAAGGTGTTTAAGATAGCACTGTACTGCTACAGGTATCTTCCATTTTCATCACTTTTGGCTCTTTCTTTGTATTCCTTTTTGTTCTCAAATACATTTCATTGCTGATGATTACCATCATGCTATTTGATTAAGCTTTAAAATTTGCAAATGAAAAATGAAGTTACATGCCATTGTGTGGTGGAACCTCAGGGTAGGTGCTGGTTATTTCTTAGCAACGCAATCATATTTAAGTTGCAGTTTATTGGAGAGAATTGCTTGGAAAAATGGGAAGTCTTAATTCTTTTTGAATGCAGAAATGTTGTATCCAGTGGTATTTAGTCATAGAGATACTTTGTGCCCATATATATATATATATATATATATATATATATATAATTTTTTTCATTTTCAGATAAGGTTTGCATATTTAACTGATGAGCTCCAGTAAAATATTTTAACTTCCTTTCTAGAATATATCTGCAGAGTAACTGGAGAATCAAGTAATGTAACTTGACAGGGGTAAACCAGTTAAGCAAGGTGTGGCCAAAGCAACAAACCTTACCTAGTAACTTTATGGTAATGATGTTAGTCATCTATGAAGGAGTGGCACTAGAATTGCTTAAATCATTTATAATGTAATGCTTTGTTGTATTTTAAAAATTTGTCTTCTCATTTTTTACTTCTGTTCTCTGTATGGTTTCTTATTTATTTTTAAGAAATGTACTCTAGCTACTAATGACTACATGCTGATTAATTCACTTTAGATGGCCTAGGAGGAACGTATCTTTCTGTCATTTGCACCACTTGCTGTCTTTGGAAACCACCAGTAGAGGATGCTAGCAAGAATGATTATTGGTGTAGCAGTACCATAAGTCTGTTTATCTCCTGTTGATTGGGACCTCTATGTTGATAGAGACCTGTCTTGTAATTCTGAGTCTTCCTATTATTTTAAACCAGCCATGGGTAAATTAGGCATAAGCATTTTCTAGTCTCCTAGGACTGAAAAGAGGTAGAAATGTTTTAACTTGAACAATTATATAAATTTGAGCTTTTTAAATCTTGAAATTGAGATTGTTATCAATTTAGTCTTGCTTTAGACCAGTCATATTTCTGGTTAAAAAAGGGACCGTTGTTAGGTTTGGAAAAGAACATGTAATTATTGGCCCATATTTATATTGCATATTTACTATATCTTTTAATCTCCTTTTTCTTCATAGTAAAAGCACTGAAAAAAGATATCTTTAGACATTAAAAGATGTTAATGGTAAATGTAGTAAGAAAAATTGCAACTATAATTGATAATACTGTATAATTATTTTTCTATAGCTTAGCTATATTTAAACTATGCATGGGTTCACAGGCAACTGCTAATAAAGGTCTTAATCAGCAGTCACTCCGATGTTAGTGATTTTCAGATATCTTTTCCTTCCCCTTCTATTAAGAATCAGGTAGTGTATAAATTTAAATTTACCACTTGTAAATTAAGGAATAAGTTTTTTTAGAGGATTTAAATGCAGTGGGGAAATATTGTTTGTTAATTATTGTATGCCTGTATTAAAAGAATTCTCTAAAATAACTATGTAAATTAATATAACTTTTACATGTAAATAATTGCATAAGACTTAATGAATTTAGTTGTGTCTTTTTGGTCTGTGCCCTTAAATAATTAACTTACTCTAACTGTAAACTTTTGCAAACCTTTCATTTGTCAAATGTCAGAAGTATTTATTTCCCTAATTACTTTTAATAGTGTTTCTATGAATGTGCTAGTGCCATAATGCAAGAGTAATACTGTTTATATTGAAATAAGTAAAATTACCTGCATTTTTAGGTAAGCCTGTATGAATTTCTCATTTTAGTATGTCAGAGAAAGGAAAGAGAGAGGGAGAAGCAGATGGAGAGAGAGAGAAGGTGTAGTTTTATACTTCCTGGCAGACATTTCTTGAATTTGGTGTTCTCCTAAAACCTAGAGTTCAGTAGTGACAAGGTGTGATTCACTTACTTTTTAAAGATGAACTGAGGGACTTTACCACAAAGCCATACCATGCATAATTGTGGCATGGAGCAAAACTTAAAGTATCTCATGAATTGAAAGGATCAGTCACTTGTTAAAATGACCGATATAAAAGCACATGAAATATTCTATTAGTACTTTATTTTCTTTCTCTAGTATTCAGTATTTTTGAACTGCCATATACCCTGTGCTTGCAATTTAGTTGCTTTAAAGCATGTGGTGAGAAAGTTCTATCAAATTGGGACTATTTTAAAAATTACAGCATAATTGTTTCTCATAGTTGTGGGGTTTTATTTTACCCTTTTTTATTTCCCCTGTATAAATCATTCTACACATGTGATTAGAGCCAGATGTAAACACAGATGCAATATCATGTGGAATTACATCGTTAGCTACTCTTAACTACCTGTATTGAATTGCAGTAGAGAAGAAGAATCATGCAGATGTGGGAACAAGATATGCATTAGTGCGCAGAAGTGCAGTGAAAGGTTAGAGGACTTGATGAATTGTAGAAATGATATTTATGACTTAAAAAGCTTTCTTGATCTCTGTGGCTTGATCACTAATTATGGGGAAATGCATGTTCATTTTGAATAGAGATGGAAGCTAAAATAAAAGTTCATTGTTGAAAGAAATTAAAAAAATTAAATTAGA